CCTGAGAGAGATCAAGGGACATACGTGACCGTTGAGTATTCTAGCTCAGTCAAGAGCTGAATGAGTGCCTTCCTTAGAGAGGGCATGACATATGCCGGGTTGTGCATGGCGAGACGACCAATCAGAGTGACGGCGGTTACACGGTTTTCGAAGACCTCGTCGTTAACAGCAATGAAGAGTGAACGGACGTTCTCTGCTTGAGCGAGATGCTTGTCAAAACGTTCATGGAGTGACGATAACACTGTTTGCCGAATGCTAGCATCTACGCTACTGTTAAAAACAAAGTTGCCAACGATGTGGTGAAGGCCGCACCTGGATCTGCGATGGCGACAGTGAGTAGCTTGTCAATAACGTCGCTGATGATCTCGATCGAGTGGTTGCTAGCTTGATAGCATATCGGATCGCGGACGAAGAGTCGACAGCATGTCAGCGCTGCAGCACGTCTCACTTCAGCATGATCTTGATCCAAGTATGGGAGGGCGCAGTCATGCACGAACTCGTTCAAGACATGGCCTACGTTGTTGAGTGAGAAGACGGCGTACTATCAGTGAACAGTCACATACCGCTGAAGTCAAACGTATGCAGAGTAGTCAATGCAAGCGTGATCAGTTCAGGGCCCCTGACAGAATTTGTCCCTTCCAATGGTACAGGTTCTTTAGCCACCGTGGCAGAGTCCCCGCGAAGTAACGAGGGTGGCGCTCCTAATGGCTTGTAGGCATGCCCGCTCAAAATGATTGAAAGTGTGTCCAGCAACCGGTCTATGTGTTTGGTCAAAAACATGATGACCCGAACGACATCCATAGCGTACCTTGTATCGTTTTTAGCAGTGGTGGAATATGAGTAGCAATGGCAACGAGGGCTTGGCGCAGTGGTTCGCTGAGCCCACAATTGAACATGAGTTCCAATTGGTCGTGCAACAGTTTTGTCAAGTTGGGACCGACAGCCTGCGCGAGCATGCCCACACATTGAAAGATTGGCTCCTCCTGAGCCGCATTCTTCTTCCTGAGCGACCGGTTCGAATCATTTTCTTCGTATTCTCACATACTCGCATCACTCACCCTCTGGACTGCAACCCGGCTTTGACCTGCGACATGATTGACTCGAGAAACGGTTTCATCTCGCTGCCAACCGCCGTCGCAACGTGTCCGATGGCAATGAATGCTACAGAACGTTCGTTGGGCTTCTCAAGCTGAGTGAGAAGATGAGCCATAGCTTTGTGGAGGAAATGTTCTGAAAACGTCTGCGTGTCGTAGACAGCTAGTGTCGGGATGAGGGTGATGACCATCTTGCGAACGATTGGTTCTCGGTGAGTCTTGAAGGAGAGAATCTGTTCTGCGGCATCAAGGAAGTTCTCTTTCATGAACTAGTGTGGCAGTGATAGGGTCAGTCAAACGATCTACACCGTACTCGTGCGACGTACCATGCCCCCGTGGAGTAGAAGCTCTCGATACGTAAGGAGGGAGCCGTGTATAATTTCGACCTGAGATATCTTCAAACCCATTTGCGCATCTTGCAGAATCTTCAGCAGGAAGGGACTTCTTGTCTGTCGCTCTCGCTGACTGATGATCTCCAGACACGCAGCCAGGAGCTCGGCTGCGCTCTCTCGTACAATGATACGTGGGTCACGGAGGGGAGCAAGGATCTTGTCAAATACGAGGCCGATGTGGGAGTGAAAGTACGTTGGGCTGTTGCGCGCGAGCTCCTTCAGAATGAGAACACCAGCGTGCCTTCCAAACTCCGGTTTGTCCGTCAGCAATGCGACAGCCTTCTGTACTTCAAAGTCCATGAAATAGTCGCCACCAAACGCAGGCCCGCTAATATCCGCGATCTGGCCGAGAGTTTTGGATGCTGCGAGCATGACATTGATGTCGGTGTCTGGAAGGAGAGCCTTGACATAGTTGTATAGTCGGAAGAGCTGGCTCTTGGACTCGATCTCCCCCTCAACTTTGAGAAGATGATCTGATGGACTGCGTTCTATTGATAGGTCGCGGTGCAGAGGACACAGTACGCACCAATGGCCAAGATTCCTCCCAGCTTCTCCACCGTCGATTGACTATGGACCAAGTCAAATATTTTGTTGATGATCTCCTCCCATAGCTTAGCTGCAATGTCCGAAGAAAGCTCCGGGATAGTATTCGAGATCTAGGGAATGTTAGGACACGAGACCCTCCGATACATGAGACGTACATAGTGCTGCAACTCAAGGGCGGCTTGTGCTCGGACCTCAGAGCTTTTGTTCTTGAGCCCTTGAAATAGTTGGTCCAGAGCGTCGACCTGGGCCGGTGGTGCTATGGAAGCCATGGTACACGGCTACGACTGGTGCCAACCCTGCAGCAGTCGAGTCAAGCGGGGGTCGATGAGATATGGAACGGAACTAGTAGTAGCTGTAGTACTAGCTGTTACTGCACAGCGACCAAGGACGCGTTTATCTTCACGTGCCACCAAGATTAGGTTGCAAGCGAATCTAATCTTATCATCCAATCACGTTTGCGTCATCGAAGAGTCAGCTATGTATTAGAGCGCCAGGACTCGCGCTGAGCCTTGTTCCTCTACCACCACCACTCTCCCGCTTCTTAGTCTAACTCGCACGACTGTTGATCATGTCTGCCATCACTGAACTACCTAAGGAGCTCTTCTTTGACGAAATATTCAGCTATCTCCCTGTCACCGACATTCTCAGCTTAGGATGTACCAACCAGTTCTTCGCAACAGTTGTGGCAGATGAGCCATTCTGGCACAAGCGAATCCAGGAAGATTTTAATTTCACTGGATCTGACACTGCTCGTCGGTCGGGGTGGAAGTTCTTGTACAGACGACTCAGTAATCCGGCACTCTACGTCTGGGGGTGCGTATCGCGGCGTTGATCGGATTCACCGTGTTCGCTGAACCGCATGCATGTAGAGAGAAGAGCCAATCCAGACTCGGGCTGAAGGATTTCCCGAAGACAAGCGTTCGCGATGGTGTCCCATATCCCATTCGTTTGAACATCCCTGGTATCCGTATCGTCACCCTCGTCGCTGGTGGGATGTAAGGCGCATGAATGGCTCTTGCCGAGTTTTGTTGATATAGCTATCCGACAGGTCGTTCCACGCTCTAGACTCTCATGGAGATATCTACGTATGGGGTGAGCTGTCGGCATGGGTCTGTAACTATTTACTCATGCAACCGCAGGGGTCCTTGACGGTACGAGCATGGCTTTGCGCAGCGATGGCTTTTCAGAGCCGTCGAAGAAGGCAGACTGTCCTGTGCGACTTCAACTACCTGTGAAATTCCGCAGCCTGAGGTACAAATACTATGTTCATGATCATCTCATGTCTGGGCTCACATCTCGATACCATACAGTTGCGGCAGGCTCCATACCACCGCTCTTGACGCCGCAGCACAGGTCTGGACATTCACCTCTTGGGGACGACCGTTCCGCCTTAGCGCATCTTCCATCGATAGGTCATCGCCCGAGACGACACCCGTCCAAGTCGAGAGCGGGTGGTCTTTCTCTTCTATTCTCACCGAGTCTGGGGACGTACTTGTATATTGGCCATTCAGCGGCAGAGTCAAGCAGGTCGTAGACCACAAGATAGAAGAACTCGACTCCTCGGATAATGATGAATTGAAGGCTGCCGCGAAGGCTCGACCGTCCGAAGACAAGCCTGACGTCGTTCCTTGCTACTGGTGGGTCCTCCACGGCGCCGAACCCCTACGGCTTCCGGCTATCCCTGCTGGGAGTCTACCGAAGCTGGAAGGCACTGGTCCCGAGGACGACCCCGAAGAACCGATCAAACTAGTGAAGATTGCTGGATTTGATAATAACATCCTGGGCTTGACAAACAAAGGGCACGTCTTGCGATATGGGAGCTTGTACGGAGAGGACACATACCAGAACGGGCGCTGGGAATATGTATGTCTCATCGCAGCCACTTTGTAACTTGGCTGACCAACGTGCTATTATCTAGCTACCATATTTTAGCGATGTCAAACAGATCAGAACTCTGCCAGTTTACACCCGTCATGGCGAAAGTGAGGGCCCAGCTGTGACACCTCCGGAGACGTTGCGCATCACCCACGTGAGCCATATTTCGTCGCACACAGACATTCGGGTCTCTTACATTCACCGCAGATATCTGCGTCGTTCCATACGTTCTTCGCCTACTCTACAGGATCCAGCTCCGCCGTGCTGATGGGCCAACACATTCCGCACCAACAGCACGTCAGCCCACACCAGGACCCGCTCACAAACATCTTCCAACCCACGATCATCCCCGAGCTACAGGACCGCTCCGTCATCTCGGTCGTCCTCGGCGACTACCACTACGGCGCACTCACCAGTGACGGCAAACTCCTCACCTGGGGCACGTTCTCCAGGGGCGCGTTGGGCCTTGGGGATCCCGTCGACAAGGAACTCGGCCAGCCAGGTGGTTTCGCGACTGAAGAAGAGCGTCGCACCGCTGTGAACGCAAAGTGGGGCCTCATGCGCCCCCCTCCAGACGTCGCGAAGCCTGCCGAGGTGCGGTTCGACTACCAGGATAAGCGGAAGCGACCGAAGTACTGCTTCGCCGCAGCGGCGCTAGGATGGCACACGGGTGCATTAGTTATCGACCTCGACGTGAGTCCGCTAATCGCTCTCAGCGACGATATCAATCTAATGTTGGCCATGTGATGAAAATTCAGCCCGACCAAGAGGGCGATGATGTACTCGAGGAACAAAACATTCCGGGCTCGTTCTCTGAAGATAACGCAGACGAAGCGGGTGGTCCGGGACCTGGTATGGCACACATACTGCCCATCGGCTTTGGCAGACGGGGGTTCACGCCTTTCCGAGTCGGTTTCGCTGGGAGAGGCATACATCGCGGAGGCCCTCCTCCCGCCGGAATCTGAATCGCGACAATGACTCGTATGGGCGAGCTGTATCAACATGACTTGTAACTTGTATCCATTTATCGTTGTGGTTGTAGTAAATTCCGTGTGGAACGTAAACAAAAATAAAATATCTTCAATGCCCTATAGGGCCTGGCCGGGAATTGAACCCGGGACCTCCTCCAAATGGTACATATACCCTAAGAAGGAATCATACTACTAGACCACCAGGCCGTAATCATTCATACCCTGGCAGGCAATATAGACAAGAAAAGGGCAAGGTGCCTCAATGAACAGTTCAGCGAGGGATGGTGCATTTGAAGCTTGGACAGCGGCGGCTATGGAAGACTCGTTTGACTTGTACCCCTACCTACGTGCTTTTCTCCTCATTCTAGCTCCGGACAGTCCCAATGCCTCGCGGAGTCCCCAACGCCAAGCGCGACGAGTCGGCACTACGGTACACCTCGTTCCATGTTCCTCTTGCGTCAGTATACTATCTTCTCTATCTCTATGAGGAGTGTCCACTCATCACAAGCGAGCAGTCCGAATCCCAAACACGTTGGATCAACATATCTTAAATCAGAATCGCAAACACTTTGGGCTAGGAATGCAGTCCGGGCACACAGGACTAGGCACATTCTGGACGAGGCAGGTGCTGTTACTCCCACCGAGGTATGTATAGGTGCTACTACTCGGTGATTGGTCTCTGACGCGTCATTCAGGCCCGTAGAGGTGCCAAGGTTGTTGTTATTCACCTTGGTTCCCGTTTCCTCCGGATCGGACGCGCTTCAGACGTGACTCCCCTCACAATTCCTAATGTAGTTGCACGCAAGCAAACGACGCCTGCCGCCTCTCGCAAGTACGTAGTGGGCATCTCCCGCCCCCGAGAGGATAGAAGGCGGTCCACACCCTCGATCACTGCTCCTGGTGGAGATGAGTACGCGGTCGCAATGGCGTCGGACGACCCTGTACGTACACATACTGTCACGTACCTATCTAAGCAACAATGGTTGAGTGTACGTGCCATCTTAGTTTGACGCGAAGGTGGCAGCGATCACCGTCTCGCTGCGCGACCGCATGCGATTCTACAAGCTGCGGGTCACGACCAATGCTGCTAGTATTGCGACGACCTTCAATGAGCAGTTCAAGCCTGAGATAATTCCTGAGGTCAACGACCCCTATCATGTTGATTGGATTACCTCCTCGGATGAGCCGTTCCTCGTGGGTGAGCAGGCTCTTCGCCTAGCAAATCCTGAGGAGATGAACTACACTGTTCGGTGGCCTATCTATGGCGGAAACTTCAACACACGCGACTACCCCTCCTTACAGTTAATACTCAGTGATATTGAGATCATCCTTAGGGAATCCCTCAAGCTCAAGGACATCCCACCTAGCGCGTACAAGGTGAGCTTCATGCGTACATGACAATCACGGAGGGTCTGACCGACGTAACTGAAGGATCACTCTGTGGTTCTTGTAATTCCAGACTACTACGATCGATTATACGTCGAAACGCTGGCGAGGATGCTCCTCATTGACATGGGCTTCAAGCAGATCTGTGCTCAGCAAGTACTGGCATCTATGACCACAATTGCGATGCCTGCTCATCATTTCTCGTATGTGCAGGAATCACTCGCGGCCACGTACGGTGCGGGTATCTCAAACGCTTGTGTCGTGGACATGGGTGCAGTGAAGACAAGCATCGCATGTGTAGATGACGGTATGGTCATCGCAGATACTAGGTGACATAAGGGATCCGTCCGCTCATATGTCGGTCTGTTTACCTGATTACGGGGCATGATAGGATGGTCCTCAGCATGGGCGGGAACGACATTACGGAGTTCTTATACGTCTTGTTTGAGAAGATCGGCTTTCCGTACCGCGACATCAATCTTGCTCGTTCGTACGACTGGAACGTCATGGAAGACCTGAAGGCGAGACTATGTACACTAGCAGAGGTACGCATTTCGATCTATCGCAACCTAAGCTACACTCACACACTGTCCATCAAGGGTGATGTCGCGTTGAATTTGTACGACTTCTCAGTCAGGCGACCTGGTAACGCGACAGAAAAGTACGGTCTCCGTGCATACGATGAGATTATCCTAGCACCTATGGTCAGTTCCTCATCACGTTCGCCTATATACGTTGCTTACAGGACTGGCAGTGTCTCTTTGAACCACGCGTCATTGAGTTCGAGCAAAAGAGAGCCGGCATGCGGTTCCTTCTGCGCGCCCCTGACATGGCTGAAGAGATGGTAGAGCAAGGCGCAGATAAGTTCGCAGAGAGATACGTATGTCCACGTTCTAGTATACTGAATCCATGTGAGATACTCACTCTGTGCATATACCGTGGAACAGACACAAGCGATGATGATCTCTACACAACACCTATTTCCCGTCATCCCACCCCCCATCACTCTCGATCACGCCCCGCCGCCAGTCGCTACCGCTGTGCAGACCCCAGCCACGGCAGAAGGGAGATCTCTGGCCGTCACTCCTCAGCCGGCTGCTAGTGGTACGTCGCTTACTATACTTGTCTACACGGTCCCTCTCATGTTGTGCGACCATAGGTTCGGCTACAACACCAGTCACACCAGCTGCCGAGGAGCCTTCCGCTGCAGAAAAGGACACCAAAGAAGTGAAGGATGAGGACGTGGAGATGGCCGATGCGGTGACGGAGAAGGCGGAAGGCGATGAGATAGATGGGAAAATCGGAAAGGAACCGGAGGCAAGCAAAAAGGAGGAGACACAAGAGTCGAAGGACTCGCAGAAGGATAAAGGCAAGGCTCCAGAGAAGCCAGTGGAGGTCATCGACGTCGACGAACTCGATACCAAGACCTTAGCCGCGCCTGCCCCTGCCGCACCGGTACCCCTTCCAATGCCTATGCCGTTGGCTTATAGTGCGTTCAACATCGACGTCAGCTTTGAGGCGAGCAAGCTCCCTCTGGACGTCGCGATCTTCAATAGTGCGCGTGCGGCGGGCGGTGACGAGAAGATTCGCAAGTATCTCCAGGCCGTATTGGTCATCGGTGGAAGCGCGCTCGTCCCGGGCATGGCACATGCACTCGAGAGCAGGTGTGTCCGGTATTGCTCTCTCGCCGTATTCGCTCACATCCCCGCTCTGTTCCTGGCTGACCATGTACGACAGGCTGCAGGCAATTGCGACGCCCCTTGTGCCGAACATGGAGAAGGTTCAGATCATTCCGCCGCCCAAGGATGTCGATCCACGTGTGCTCGCATGGAAAGGCGCCGCGGTCCTGGGCAAAATGGACGGCGTTGCGGATCTCTGGGTCACCAGCGCGGACTGGGTGAGTGCCTTATTCATCCCGTTCTCATATCCGCCCTGTTCCTACACGCCGCGTACCCTGCCTCCTGCTTGTCGTGCGGTCCTTCTGCTTCTTTGCATTCTGAGCGACACGGACGGAGTCTGTGCGACCACAGTGCCGGGTCCACAGGATCCTGTTCTGCGTATTTTGTTTTCCCGTTCGGAATTCCGTGTCTGGGTCGTCCACTTCATGTGCTCACTGTGGTTCCGTTCCACAGGAGATGTTTGGGATGCGCGCCCTGAAAGAGCGCTGCTTCTATCTTTGAGCGTGCCTTTATGGGCACATACGGCCCGCCCGATCGATGGACACTCGTCCAAGAGCAGTCACGCCGTATACCGTGCCTCGTTCCCCCTCTCCCCCTTGCTCCGATATTGAGCTCTGACGTCCATGCATGTTCGCGTGCAGATGACCCGCCCGTCGACAAAAGCGTGTGTATGTGGTGTGACAAATGATGAACCTTGTGTTGTGCTGGACCCTTGTGCGCGTCCGTCTCCGCTGATATTAGCCCCCTGGGTGCAATGCTGCCATCATGGTCCTCCAGGCGTTCAGGTGTGCCCGGAAGCGCCAGACGTCATCGCCCAGCGTCCAGCACGTCCAGAAGGTGGGAGGCAATGAAGCAATTATATCCTAACAGGGGTGTCAGACGACACAGAGATGTTCGCAGCGTCCAGGCCCCCATCATGCATCGTCAGCGGCCAACCTCTTATTCTTCGCAGCTTCCGAAAACTCTAACATCGGCGCGGGACCCGAGACCTGGGGCGAGAAGGGTGTTTCAGACGACGGTAATGTATTCATTCGCATCTCGTGTTTGTATTTGCAGCCGGGGCCGTCGGCCGTCTGTCTTACCGCCATCCAGGCTGCGGAGTATGGCAAGATGGTTCCAGTGCGCACGCCCGGAAGCTCGAGCTCCGTGGTCTACGTCCGCAACATGGCTGCAGGCTCCCAGAAGCCCAAAAGAAGATACGGCCAAGCGAATCCCTGAGCCTGTCATGAGTTCACTGCCCATCAATCATCCGCTGTATCGACTCATATCGATCGCTGAGATGGTGAAATGAAGTGGGACCGCAGACGCACGGCAGTGATACAGCATGCGCACATTGAAAGGGATTTTGACGGCCTGATGGCTTTATACATATTCACTTCGTTTTGCTGTCAAGATTCACATCTGCATCGCGAACAAAGTTGCACGGACGGATATTTGTATGGACATTTGTAGAACAGGACCCTAATCACGCGCTGTGCGATTGCACCTGTGCCGATTTCGCGTTGGAGACATGTCCTAACAGAACGGTGAGATAACTGAGGTCATGACTGAACACAATAGGTGCTACGAAAATGCTGAAATGGCAAGTACACTTACAAGGACCAGGGCTTTAGTAACTATAGGAGATGAACGTGAGTTCGGGCCTACAAGTACACATGATGCAAAGGAATGACGATACGATGCACAAATCACAACGAGATTCGGCGAATGGGAGGTACCAATGAAGAGTGTGAGCAAGCATGGAAGGAACGAGATCTTCACGTGTGTACTTCCTTACTGACACTTATAAACTGGAAATGAGAAAGAACGGGATAGGTTCGGTGATCTGATGATGGGGCCACGGACGCTTGTGGGGTGACAGAGGGTGTCGCGGGAGGACGAGAGATGTCACAAAGGGTTGCAGCAAGAAACAGCACAGTGAATCGCGAAAGGGATGAGATAGCGGAGTGTGTGTCGAATGACGGAATGAGATGGGGCCTACACCTTCTCAAGGCGATCCTTGATTGCGATGAAGTCCTCCGGCTGAAGGGTGGTCCAGTTGCTGACGAGCAAGGCCATCTCGCGCTTTCCAATCCTGGATGAAGGACACGCATACAGCGATGCAACATGTTAGCACGTATGACGGGGAATACGAAATGCAAG